ATGCTTTTTCACTTTTTCAACTTTAGTGTGTATTGTTGCTGTTTGAGCATAAAAAAAAATCTGCAAGATTACAAAGCTCAAAGTCCACTCTAAAAGGAGATATTCTCTTTAACAAAACACTTTCCAAGAACTACAATAAACTGCTCGTTTGGACTACAGCGCTTCTTCCAGATATTGTGAAGTCACAATGTCACTTCTTTAAATAATCTCCACCCACGGGTGTGGCCTGGTTGAGCTGTGCTGGAGAAGAAGAAGAAGAAGAAGAAGAAGAAGGAGGAGGAGAAGAAGGAGAAGAAGAGCAGCTGCTTTAGTAGCGTCCTGTCGTCATGGCCGTCCACCCCAGCTCCCAAACCCCTTTGTTTGGGCTTCCAAATCCAAACAAACTTATTTATAACACGGTTCCTGAACATTATAAATCTACATGTAATCTGGATTACGTAATCAGATCAAAACAATTAAGTACTTGTAATTTGATTAAATTACATTTTGAAATACTCGTAATCAGACTAGTTACTTTTAAAATGTATTACATGATTACATATTCACACAATAGCAATAAATTATTCATAATGTATCGATTCTCCCCAATTCCTCTTTTTCATCTTAAATGTTGCTTTCTAAAATACCACTTAAATACACTCAGAAAGTCTTCCAGTTTTGTGGACATTCACACAAAGACCAGTCACTAGTCAGATGACTATAATTACACAGAAAACTGAGAGGCCACACAGCTTTTGAGCAACGGATTTTCAAAAATCACTTACATTTTATTTAATTACATGTTTTCTCAGCATTTCAACATTGCATCAACTACTGATGAACATATACATTTTTATTTGAACTATATTACTATGTCTTTGGAAGTCAAACACATTAAAACGCACAAATTCATGTTATTTCTTATGTACATGTAATGCAGGGATTCCCAAACTTGTTTTGTCAGTCGCATCTCTTTCACCCATTATATGTATTTGAAGTACCCTGAGATCTGAAGGCAATATTTTAATAATTAAGTATCACATTTGCATGTTCACGGCTCTCTGACGTTGGTAAATGGTCACATGACATGCACGTAAACAAATAAAATATTTTATGCATTTTATTTTGATTGATGCTATTTTTCATTTCTGTGATTGAATTCATTATTAGCTTTTCATTAAACTCATAAAGCCCCTGCAGTTCCTTTACGAACCCAAGTTTGGGAAACCTTGGCGTAATATAATGTTTAATGCAGTTTATGTTGTCAATATCAACAAATTGAATATATTTTCTTTTTCTTTGCATTTTTATATCAGTGTGGTACAAGATTATACCATTTAATTCAATGTGATAATGTTAGGTCAAAGCTAACCTGATTATATGACCTGAAATGTGTGAGTTTATGCTTCTCCAGAAACAGCCTCGATCCACCAAACAGATGTTTCTCTCTTCTTCACTTGTATAATGGTGAATGAGTTATAATGTGTGCTCTTCTCCAGATTCAGAGGATGGTGACTAACTGGTCTGTAATCCTGGCATCATCTAGTTCTGAGATGGTTTGATTGATGGTTTGAACGTTAGATGATGCCAGCAGCATATGGCAAGCTGTTTTAACATTTAATCTATAAACCGTACTAGTATCTATTTTCATGGTACTAGTACCTATTTTTTAGATACTAGTATCTTTTCCATTAAGTACTAGTACTTATTCATAAGGTACTCAGTAAGGCTTATAGATTAAATGTTACTACGGCTTGCCATAAGCAGCTATCTTTCCCTCTTTCACTGATGTGCTGCAAAATAACTCAACATCGCACACAGCTCACTAATAATAATAATAATAATAATAATATTATTATTAGCTGACAACTCAACAAACCGACTTAAAGCGGTCACATTTACGAGGACAGAATAATGTTCACTAGAGGAAATAGCGTAGAAAGAACTCGGTGAACTCTGGAAAACATCTGTAAAGGTTAGGAGGTATAATCTTGCTCGCAGTGAATGTTAAACACGGATTCAGATGAGCTTCGGGTTTGTGGTTCATTCGCGCTGGCGCTTTGTTTGCAACAACTGTATAACTACACAAAACAACGACAAACAAGTGGAAACAGTGGTTGTGTGTGTGTGAGAGAGATATTTAGTCACCTCATGGTTTTAGATGTGTGGTCCGGCGCGGACGGTATTTTCTCAAGATGGCAGAAATAAATGGAGCGGACGCGACTCCAGCCAAAACATCCCAAACGGGAAGCGGATTCTGCCGATTGCCTTAATATTCATGAGGCACGGGAGAGCACCAATCAACCTCAACACAACCTAATTAATATTCACGAATAACCCTGATAGCAACAGACTCCGGGCGGGTCCGCTGTACTGTCAGACTCTGTGCGGTCATTCGCCCAGAATCTGCCCCGCCTCCGGACAGCGCGCTGTCAGCTAGCGGACTCATGATGGACACGGCGCGGATTAGCATCCGAACACGGGTTTTTTTGTTTTGTTTTTAACCGGTGCGTCTCAGAAATCCTCCTCAGAGTGCAGAAGCTGCGGCCGGCCAGGTTGAAGAAGACTGAACTCGGTAAGAATACTTTTCAAATATGCTTGTAATTACCTACTTTTTATAGATTGTTTCATTATTACTGGCCAAAGAAAGTTTCGATTTTTTTCAAGTTTTGAATGATTTTGTTGTGGTTTATTAATATTAATAAAGGGAGACATATTACACTGTTATAGAACAGTCTAGTCTATATAATGTTTGTTGGCTCTATTTGAGGTATTTCCATTGCTAGTTTTGGCCAGATTACCCATTTTAAATAAGGTATAGACCCACATAATGAACGGGTCCAGATCGGATCCGGGCCGGATCTCACACACTCACTCTCACGCTCTCTCACACTCACACACACACACACTCACTCTCACTCTCACACACACTCACTCTCACACACACACTCACTCTCACGCTCTCTCACACACACACACACACACACTCTCATGCTCACTCACTCTCTCACACACACACACTCACGCTCTATGAACGGGTCCAGATCGGATCCGGGCCGGATGAACCGCTATATTAGCGGATACGGGTAGGTTCTGGACCGGATCCGGATCCGTAATCCTTATCTGTTCCGGATCCGTTGCGCTGTGCAAGTGGACTCCGATACGGACCCGTTTTGCGGATCCGTTCCGGAGCTTGTGGTGACTCCGCGGCGGATCCGCTCCGGAGTCATTTTGCTCTCTGGGAAGCCTTCAGCGTACATCAATATTCATAAGCGCACATCCTCCTTCAGCGCGACCTAATTAATATTCATGAGCTTATCCTCCGCCGTTAGCAGGAGTCGACATTTGGAAGAACTTCCGCTCCACAAAACTTTTTTTTATTTTTAGTCTTGTGTTTAGTCCTCTTAAGATAAACAGTGGGCTTGTGAAATTAATTCTGAAAATAAAAAACTGAAGGCAAAATGGCTGAGTTTATAGCTTTATTGTCTTGATTTGGGTTGAATCCAGTACATTGTGCTGCTAAACAGATCCATATAAAGAGAAATAAGAGCCTAAGATGAGAAGATCGTGACACTCATGCTGCCCTTCATCAGCTATCAGAGCACTCAAGAGATTCAGCGACAGAGTCACATCATACTCTACTGCACAATAATCTGTGATATATGACTTCATGAACTCTAGACAACCACAACAGATTTAGTGCATAAAAACATGGTTTATTTCCGGAGGAAAATCACTGTGGATTCAATGTGTTCATTCACACGGACCCTTCTCATCCAGACGATTTCTTCAGTATATTTGTTTGGAAAAAAGCACACAGGTTTACCATGATTTTACCTCTGAATTAATCACACACGCTTCTCTGCAGAATTAAAACAGACTTGAGTGTGTAGGAGTGTGTGTATGAGGCATGCTTTCTCTAACAAACAACATCTTGTGTAAGGAGAAACAGGCGCTGTAATTACACTAAACACACACTCACACTCACTCACACACCCACTCTCACACTCTCACACACACTCACTCTCACACTCTCTCTCTCACTCACACACACACACACACACACACACACACACACACACACACCCACCCACTCTCTCACACACACACACACACACAGACAGACACATGCTCTCTCTCTCTCTCTCTCTCTCTCTCTCCCCGTCTCTCTCTCTCTCTCTCTCCCACACACACCCACACACTCTCTCTCTCACACTCTCACACACACACACACACACACGCACACACACTCTCACACACACACTCACTCTCACTCTCACACACACTCACTCTCACTCTCACACACTCACGCTCTCACACTCTCACGCTCTCTCACACACACACACACACACACACTCACTCTCATGCTCACTCTCACTCTCACACACACTCACTCTCTCTCTCACACACTCACTCTCACACTCTCTCACACTCACACTCTCTCACACTCACACTCTCTCACACACACACTCACTCTCACGCTCTCTCACACTCTCTCACACACACACACTCACTCTCATGCTCTCACACTCTCTCACACACACTCACTCTCATGCTCACTCTCACACACTCACTCTCACGCTCACACACACACACACACTCACTCTCACTCTCACACACACTCACTCTCTCACACACTCACTCACTCTCTCACGCTCTCTCACACACACATACACTCACTCTGACTCTCTCTCTCACACACACACACACTCACTCTCACGCTCTCACTCACACTCACTCGCACTCTCACTCACTCGCACTCTCACTCACACACTCACTCACTCACTCACTCGCACACACACACTCACTCTCACACTCACTCACACACTCACTCACTCACACACTCGCTCTCACACTCTCACACACACACACACACACACACACACACACACACACTCATGCACGCTCTCTCACACACACTCACTCACTCGCTCTCTCACACACACTCACTCACTCGCACTCTCTCACACTCACTCACTCGCACTCTCTCACACACACTCACTCACTCTCACACTCACTCTCTCTCTCACACACACACACACACACTCACTCACACTCACTCACTCACTCACTCTCACACACACGGTTCCTCTGGAGATCAGCTGCTTCCTGTCACGTCACATGTCTGGTGTTTGGTGTGGGAATGTTCGCCGTCACTGAGACAGACGTCCACATTATCGGCTCTTGTTCTTCTTGGAGTTTCCCTGCAAGAGTCCAGCAAAACAGAGTTCAGATTTCACTCAATGCCTCATTCAAACATCAGATTTAGAAAAGTTTAATTATTACAGATGAGTCTTTTAATCAAAACCGTGTTTCTATTAGGACTGGGTATTGACACAATTTTCACGACTGCAATTCAATCGGATTCTGATTTGATTCAATATCGATTTTGGATTTATATCAGGTACAGTACACCTCTCAACTAATGCTGTAAATTATACAGTGGAGTCAGTTGGTACTACATTACTATAATATTGAAGGTTAAAATGAACTGATTCGTACACAAACACTTAAAGTAGACTCAATTAATTTTTTATAATAATAAAGTTATAATACAAACTATACAATTACACAGTTATATTTCTACTCCAATTTGTTTTTTGAAATAATACATTTTTAAATGGTAGTTGTCAAAAACTTGACAGATTTGTTAAAATATGAAAAAAAAAACTAAATATTGAAGAACAGTAAAATAAAGTAAAAATAATGAATATATTATATGGTGCATTCAGCAAAATGCTCCTCTCTAAAGTGGATTTTCTAGCTGACTAAAGTCACTGAATATGTTTTTTCTGAGTTAAATGTGACGTTACGTGACATGTTTAAAAAGCTGTTATATTGACGTATTTCCGTGGTTGAAACTCTGATTGAGGGATTATATGAGACAGGATACTTTTAATACCTTCGGATGTTCATTCATGTTTATTTTGTGCTGTAACTGGTACTAAAGCGAAGTCATCGATCCGTTCGCGTGCACCTCGCGCTGCCACTTCTGTTGAACTGCGGCGCTACAGCGATCTGTCACTCCGCATTAAACGTTAGCTTACTCGTGTAGCCTCGGTTCTCTGATAACATCCGTTTGGGATCTCACTATGGGAATGCCTCAGCGGTGACCGAACAATTACAGCATGGTTGTCAGACCAATCGCTGGTATATAACCCACGGCATCATTCTCTGCATATCTTCTGCTCTGTGCAGACTGCAAGAAGAGTGGTGAGCTGATATACCTCCCTTCTGAAATATAAAAATGTGAGAATGACCTGAATCAAGCGTATTAAATATCACTCCAAGCACTAAATCAGCCAGAGATGACTGTCACATCAAATCTGTAATATCGCACAAATGTGTGCAGTGACACCCAGCGAACAGAAACTCTCCTGAACAGAGCCCAGGAAGTAGCCATTCCTCTCGTGGAGAGAGCGTGAAGTCCCGGTGGAGGCTGCAAATTTGTTTCTTTGTAACACATTACAATCGCATTTACCACCGCTAACATGAAATAGGTCTCTCTCTGTGATTATCAGCCCAAGAGACGAGTGTAATCACTCTTCCTCTGATGAAGAAAACGTTAACAATTCCACCAATATGATTGCTCCTGTTGTGTCCCTGACCTTAGGAACAAAAGCCGGATTAGTTCTCAGAGTAACTTTCGATCTGAAAAACGAAGATGGCAGTCCCCACTCGAGATGAGGTGAGTTAGAAGGGAGGATGGCATCCCCCTGATAATTCCTCATCGTCATCATCATCCTCCCCGTCACACCCACAAGGGCATCACCGAAGAGGGTGGCAGATCAGGAGCCTGCACATCCATAATATCACCCAGTTCCTGGGCTCCTGCGGCTGCTTAGCGGTCTCCTCTCTGGGCTGAGTCTGAGAGAAGCATGGCTCCTGGTTTCCTGCTATTGCCACCCTGAGTCTCATTTCTCGGGGTTTTGCAGGAAAACCAGAACAAATAGAGCAGCCCTCTGGGTTAGATATGGCAGCTTGGGCATGCTTAACACCTCAACATATCCAAGAAATCCATAGACGGCACGAGCATCTCTCCCCCTGTGCTCTCTGCTGTTCTAGCAGCGGCCATAACTCTCTTCACCCTCTTCGTTAGGTAAACTCTCACCGTGACGTGTAGGTTTACCCCCGGAGCAGCGGTATGCAGTGTTATTTTCTTTGAAATATAAATGTCTATTTCCCTGTATACAAACTAAAATGTATCTGATCGGAAAATTAGGGTGCTTATTCCCGTGAATGGAAAAACTAATGGATGTTAGAAAGAGAATGCTATTTTGAGTATTGTAGAAAAAAAATGGACAGAATTTGAAATCTGAGACCTTGTTTCATATGAAAAGTAACAAAGCTTATTGTCATTTACTGGATGTGAGACACGCTACAATGTTGTTCATTAACTGAAAACAGGCTAGACTAATCAATTCTTGGGAATCAATATCGTTTCACAAAAAAAAATCTATATTTTTTACCCAGCCCTAGTTTCTATACTGAAAAGCAGCAGCTGTTTGTGAAGAGTTGAAGGGACCGTTCAGCCAAAAATGATCATTGTGTCATCACTGGCTCGTGAGCTTCTCTCTTCTGCTGAACACAACAGAACATGGCTAATCACACAGTTGATGGTCCCTATTGACTTGCATAGTCTTTTTTTTTTTACCATACTATGGAAGTTAATGGCTACCAGCAACTGTTTGGTTACCCACATTCTTCAAAATATCTTTTTTGTGTTGAACAGAAGAAAGAAACTCAAGAAACTAAAGTAAATTATGACAGAATGATGATTTTGGGCTAAACTATCCCTTTAACCATGTCAGTGTGACAACTATAACTAATACCTCAAATGAATAAATAATAACAAATTATACAACTATTGAAAGTATATCCAACTCTACCTGCATACAGTATATTCACATAAAGCGATATATACTACACAGCCAGTCTCAACTGCATAATTTATTTCATCTCAAAACTATAATATTACCCAGCAATGTATTAAAAATTCAGTCAAATATGGATGCTGGATTCTTAAATCTTTAAACAGAGGCTAAACAAACGAGCGCTTCTGGTGTGATGGGTTTGAGATGTAGCTTGTTTCCAGTCTGATAATGTGGAGCATGTAGAAAATTAATCATTTTGGCAACTGGTTTCAGCAAATTCTCCAGTGAGGAGGAAACTGAGGTCTGAAACAGTATTTTATAGTACAATGACCTCTTACACGTCTAAAGATCACAGAAAATCACTGGTGGACACAGAAAAAAAACATTTTGACAAATCTAGCAACTCACATTTTAACAAAATCACAGCAGCTGAACAGCTAAAAATGTTTAGCTAACAGTTTATTTCCTCTAACATCTGCATTCGTTTCCACTCAGCAATGCCTCTCCAGAGTTTTAAACTGAAGTTCACTCTCTGATCAGCAGCAGCGCCTGGCTGTGAGCGCTAGCGTGGGGTTCTGACCTTGGAGGCGAGCTTGAGCGAGTCGATCTGGTCGCGCTGCTTGCTGAGCGTGTCGTTCATGCTGCACAGGTGATCGCTCATCATGCTCAGCTGGTCTTCATAGCTCCTCTTGGTGGTGCTGAGCTCGTCCTGAAGCACAGCAGAGCGTGTCAGCCAAACACAACACCACACACGGAGTCAGGAGAGCGCTGCTCTAGCCGTACCTGTAAGCGAGTGGTGTTCTGATGAGCCAGCTTCAGCTCCTCCGTCAGCGTCTCGCGGGACTTCTCTGCCATCGCCAGGCGTTTGGCCACAGCTCGACACTGGAAGAGACATGATGACCGCTTCTGATCACGTCAAATAAAGCAGCATGTGCTGAAGCGTTTACTGTTTAACGACAAGCTCTGGACATCATTAGACAACACGACAGCAGTCAGTCAAAGCATGGCTAATAACTGCACGTTCTCTGTGTGACTGAATGGCATGGTTTTGTCTGATACACAAACTCTTTTCAGCATCTGCGTCTCAATACATGAACACACAAACGTCATCTCCAGAGCTACTCTGAGTGTCACTTCAGTGGCTTCACACTAGTGATGGGTCGTTCTTGAACGATTCGTTCATTTTGAACGAATCTTTAATGTGACTCGGGAGGAAGTCGGTAAAATGATCCGAACTTCCCATCACTACTTCACACAAAACTACCATCATATACACGCTGAAGCAAAGTAAAACTGAAAGACCTGCCCCACAACCCGTCAAAATAATTTCTTCAAGTTAAACCAGACTTTTATGACAGAAATACACTACTATTGTATACTAAAACGTACTTCTAAAAGAAGTGGCAAAAACATTAATATTTCTAGGGAATATCATACAACCAAGATATTCTTTCATCCATGTTTTAATTTTTTCACTTCTGTTGTGCCTCAAATGCAATGTTTTGTGTAAATTAATTGTTCACATTTTAAAAGATCAATGAAATTAAGTTTTATTAATTCATTTAATTAACTTCACCATTTTTTTGATAAACTGTATTGTATTGAATTATAAAATCCAGGAAAACAATAAAAGGAAAACCAGAATTTAGGGGAAAATAAAATAAAATTTAATGGGGCCTTATATCAAAAAGTATCTTACTCTAAGTTTAACTGTGAACAAAAAGTTTTTGTTTTTGTAAATACTGATATCATATGATATGGAAAAAAAACATCATTATAATATGTTTGGCCATATCACCCAGCCCAGACTCTGACAACAACTATTGCATATTGATAATAGTTCACTCTTATTTAAAAATATTAACAAAACTGACCAGTATTTAAGTCTCTTAATTGTCTTTGACAGCTCAGTCATTTACTCGAGTCATTGCAGTACTGATAAATGAGCACAATCTAAACTCTATACATCTAGATCTAAAACCAGACGATTTTTGATATCCAGAAGATATCAGTGCTATATATATCATATTACCCAGCTCTAAAACTGCAGAGAAACTGTACATGACCAAGTGTGTTTTCAAAGGAACATCATCTACTGAATTCCTGCTTGTTTTAATGGATCTGCCGGGCTGAAGTGAGTGTGTCGATCAGAGGTCAGCGTGTCGGTCAGAGGTCAGAGTGTCGGTCAGAGTTCAGAGTGTCGATCAGAGGTCAGTGTGTCGGTCAGAGGTCAGAGTGTCGGTCAGAGGTCAGTGTGTCGATCAGAGGTCAG